TGCATCTGGAAGTAGTTCTGATCGTTCACGTTCTGCTACTCCTCCAGCAACAAGGAATCATTCTGGTTCTCGAACACCTCCAGTGGCACTCAATAGCTCCAGAATGAGCTGTTTCAGTCGTCCTAGCATGTCACCAACTCCTCTTGACCGATGTAGATCACCTGGAATGCTTGAACCCCTTGGCAGTGCTAGAACACCCATGTCTGTCCTGCAACAAGCTGGTGGCTCCATGATGGATGGCCCAGGTCCCAGAATACCTGATCATCCAAGAACATCTGTGCCAGAAAATCATGCTCAGTCTAGAATTGCGCTTGCCTTGACAGCTATCAGCCTTGGCACTGCCCGGCCTCCTCCATCCATGTCTGCTGCTGGTCTTGCTGCAAGAATGTCCCAGGTGCCAGCTCCGGTACCTCTCATGAGTCTCAGAACGGCCCCAGCTGCCAATCTTGCTAGCAGGATTCCTGCAGCCTCTGCAGCAGCCATGAACCTGGCCAGTGCCCGGACGCCTGCTATCCCAACAGCAGTGAACCTGGCAGACTCACGAGCACCAGCGGCAGCAGCAGCCATGAACTTGGCCAGCCCCAGAACTGCAGTGGCACCTTCAGCCGTGAATCTTGCTGACCCTCGGACCCCCACAGCTCCAGCTGTGAACCTAGCAGGAGCCAGAACCCCTGCTGCCTTGGCAGCTTTGAGTCTTTCAGGATCTGGCACGCCTCCAGCTGCTGCAAATTATCCCTCTAGTTCCAGAACACCCCAGGCTCCAGCCCCTGCAAACCTCGTGGGTCCACGATCTGCACATGCCACAGCTCCTGTGAATATTGCCAGTTCTAGAACCCCTTCAGCCTTGGCCTCTGCAAGTCTCACCAGTGCTAGGATGGCCCCAGCATTGTCTGGTGCAAACCTTACCAGCCCCAGGGTGCCCCTTTCTGCTTATGAGCGTGTTAGTGGCAGAGCTTCACCCCCGCTTCTTGACCGAGCCAGGTCTAGAACACCACCATCAGCCCCAAGCCAGTCTAGAATGACCTCTGAGCGGGCTCCCTCCCCTGCCTCCAGAATGATCCAGGCTCCTTCACAGTCTCTTCTCCCTCCAGCGCAGGATCGACCTAGGTCTCCTGTGCCATCTGCTTTTTCAGACCAATCCCGTTCAAATGCCCAGACCACTTCTGTAGCAGGGTCTCAGTCCCTTTCCTCTGGGACGGTGGCAAAGGCCATGTCCTCCACTGGTGACCACAATGGCATGCTTTCTGGCCCTACTCCTGGGGTGCCTCACCCGGAGGGTGGGGAGCCACCTGCCTCTACTGGGGCCCAGCAGCCTTCTGCGTTGGCCACCCCGCAACCAGCAAAGGAGCGGCGGAGTTCCTCCTCCTCCTCCAGCTCCTCCAGCTCCTCTTCATCATCATCATCGTCGTCTTCATCATCTTCCTCCTCTGGCTCCAGTTCTAGCGACTCAGAAGGCTCTAGCCTTCCAGCTCAGCCTGAGGTGGCACTGAAGAGGTGAGGGAACTTTATTTTCAGGAATCTTCTAGGGGGAAAGGAATTGGGAATGGATGAGGGAGTGGGGTGGGAGCAACCATATCTCAGGTTCTTGGTTCTTTGAGAAGGTATGGGGAACCTTGACCCTCAAGCTGGGGGTAGAAGAGAATGCTGGGGTGGGGGCTACGGGTGGGGAGGGATGGGACAGAAAAAAGTCTCAGAAGATTAATTCTCTAGAGGATAATGATAAGTTTTCCATCTCTACAGAGGACAGAACTAGAGGAAATGGACTTAATTTTACAGCAGGAGGGATGGCAGTTAGACCTCAAGAGGAACTCCCTGGGCTGGAAGGATCTTCAGAGGTCATCCCATCCCTCTCCCTGCCTCCAGGCAGGACGGCCCCTCCCCAAGCCAACCTGCACTCACAGGGGCCTCCCCAAGCTGCGGCTCTCCGAGGAAGGAGACCACCCAGCTTCAGCTTCCACATCTGAGCCCAGGGGCCTTATTCCTTCATCAGGGACATTCTTGAGGTTTAACCTTGATCCCTTGTGCTGCGGGCCCCAGCCTGTTGCTTGTGTTAGCAGAGGTTGGGTCGGCTCGGGCCAATGATCTCCAGAGAAGCACTCACTGGCTCGCTTCAGGTTGCTTCGAGAGCTCCCAGGGCCTTTCTCAGGCACCCCTCCCCCACTGCCATTCCTCCAGGCCAAGGAAGGTAGGGTTGGGGCTGGGGCAGCTTGTCTCTTTGTAACACTGTTCTTCTCCCACAGGGTCCCCAGCCCCACTCCAGCACCAAAGGAGGCTGTTCGAGAGGGACGTCCCCAGGAGCCAGCCCCAGCCAAACGGAAGAGGCGCTCTAGCAGCTCTAGTTCCAGCTCCTCCTCTTCCTCTTCCTCCTCTTCCTCCTCTTCCTCCTCCTCTTCCTCTTCTTCCTCCTCTTCCTCCTCTTCCTCCTCCTCCTCTTCCTCTTCTTCCTCTTCCCCTTCCCCTGCTAAGCCAGGCCCTCAGGCCTTGCCCAAACCTGCAAGCCCCAAGAAGCCACCCCCTGGCGAGCGGAGGTGAGTCCTGACTTGCCCGAGGTGGAGGGGAGGGTGATTTCTCCAGAATGGGCCCCTTGTGGACTTCTGTGTCTGGTTGTAAGGGAGGAGTCGGGCACACTCCTCTGCCCATTATTCTCTGCACCCTGTTCTGGTAAAGGGCTGCACCATCCAAGTGGGTTCTCAAGCCAGAACTGGGAAGTCCTAGGTTTCTTTCTTTCCCCCAACATGCAGCCTGGTCCCAGGGATTCTAGCTCTTTTAAGTCTCCCCATTGCTGCTACAGGGCTCTGGTCTGGCCACCATCATCTTCTCCCGACTCTGTCCACAGCCTCTTCCCTGTCTCCCTGCCTCCACGCCATTCTCTTCCACACGTAGCCAGAGGGATCTTTCTAAAACGCACATCTGGTTACTTCCCTCCACTCCACAAATCCTTCCGGGACGCCCTGTGGCCTGCAGGATAAAGCCCCACCTCTGCGGGAATGGCGTGTGAGGCTCTTCACCAGCTGGCCTTGCCCACCCTGTGCTCCTCCTGCCCGCCCCCATACATGCCCTGTGCTCCAGCCACACCCAGCGCCTTGCAGTCAAGGAGAGCCCATGCCTTTGGACATGCTGTTCCTTCTGCCTGGAATTTCCTTGTCCGCCTGGTGAACTCCTCGTTCTGCAAGACTCCACTCAAAACAGCACCTCCGAGAAGATTGTCCCGCCCCTGCCCCTGCCCCGCCCATGTATCCGTGCCCCAAGTCCCCAGATCTATGCACATCCATCCCTGTGGGGTTGCTTCCTACACATGGGGCCCTGCGTGCCTCCCTTGTTGGCCTTCCTTCACTACCAGACTGAGCTCCTCCAAGGGCAGGGACTGTCTTTATCTTTGCATCCCCCGCTGCACCCTGTGCCCTGCCCACTGTGGGCACTCAGTGGAAGGTGTGCGGGCGGATGGGTGAGTGCGGACAAAGGTGGGTCTGAGGCTGGCCCTGCGTGGTGTGAGGTTTGGTGGTCAGGACCTGGGTGGGTGGTTTTGAGTGCTGGCTGGTGGATTTGGAAGGGCGTTGTGCTATGGGAGCTTCCTCTGCTCCCCAGGTCCCGCAGCCCCCGGAAGCCTATAGATTCCCTTCGGGACTCGAGGTCCCTCAGCTACTCACCTGTGGAGCGACGCCGTCCCTCACCTCAGCCCTCACCACGGGACCAGCAGAGGTAGGGCCCACCCCAAAGGTTAACACAGTCTTGAATGACCAGCACAGGACTTGAGGGAAAAGCCAGTTTCAAGGTTCAGGGATGTCTGAGGCTGGTGCCACCCAGTGGTCTGACGTGTTTTTTTGTTGCAGCAGCAATGAGCGGGTTTCCCGGAGAGGCCAGCGTGGGGACAGCCATTCTCCGGGCCACAAGCGCAGGAGGGAAACTCCTAGCCCCCGTCCCATGCGACACCGCTCCTCCAGGTGTGTCTCCTCTGAAGGGTGTCCCATTCTGGTGGGTGACAGGAGCTGAACTTGATTTTTGGCATTGATTTCTGGTCTTTTCTGCTACAGGTCTCCTTAAATCACCGCACCCCATGCTCTGGAGCCACAGGGAGTGTCCCCCAACAGAGCTGTGGGAGGTCCTTGTCTTCCCCCACCTTTGAATCCTGGCAGCATCTTGGGTGGAGGGCTCCCTTCCCCCCACTCCTTTTTTTCTTTGTTCCTGTGAAATGTTAATCTCTGTGAGTTTTTCCTGGTTCATGTGTTTGGGGGGGTTGGGGGGTGGGAGGGAATGAATGCTGATGGGAGTTGGGGGAGGAGAGGATACAGTTCAGACACTGAGGCCTAGAATCAGAGAGGCCCCGAGAGGTGCAGCCGTCTGAAGTTCCTGGGGGTGATGGTTTAGAATTTAGAAGTTGAGGTGTTCTTGGATGGAAGGGGCAGGAGTTAAAAAATTAGCTGGCCCCTACTGCCCCCCATGAGGTTGTGACCCCCTCCCCCAATTTTTCTTCATGTTTCTTAAAAGGCATTTTGGTTTTTTTAAAATCTGTACAGCAAGAGCAACTTTTTCTGTCAAATAAAATGAGAAATGCAGGAATTGAGTCTATAGACTGTTTATTAGTGGTGAGAGAGCAAATGGAAGAACCACCTTCACCTTAGACCCTGACTGGAAGTCCCCAAGGCCTTTGCCCTGGATCTCCTGAAGCCCTGGGGAGGGGGGGCAATGATGAAGTAGGAACCCACTCTTAACACTGGTTCCAGCCCACAGCTTGAGTCCCCCTCAGAGAGTCTAAGGAAACACACCTGGAAATTGGGTGGCAAGTGTACCTTAAAGGCTAGATTTCTTTTGCCCCTCCTGTGTTGGGCTGACCTAGGGCTCAGGAATTCTGACCTCTTCTCCCCAAAGCTGGGAGTAATTTGGCTCTCAGGGCAGCCTAGGATAGGCTGGTCAAGAACCCAAAGAAGTGGGGGAACAAGACCCATCCCAGGGAGGGCAATGCCTGGAATAGGGAGGGAGAGGGTGGAGAAAGAGGCAGCAACCAGGCAGACACCCAAATCTCTTTTATTGGGGGGAATGGGCCTCAGGGATGGGCCTGGGGCCCTCACTGCACAGCTTGTTCATTGGCGCTGCCTCCAGAGTCCTGAGGCTTCATCACGTCCGGAAGCTCGGGTGGGCTAGAGAAGGGCTCGATGCGCAAGGCCTCAAAGGCATCATCTGTAGGGGAGGAAACAGAGCTGGAAAGGTGCTCAACTCATACCCCAGCTGGGCCTTGTTCCACCCAATAACCTGAAGCCCTGGGGCACCTAAAGTCATTGTCCTGCAGCTTTGACCTGCCCACTGCCAGCTGCTTCACTTAGTGGCACTGGAATGACTCCTGACCCCATTGGCCCAAGCCACCCATCCCTCTTTGCTGGCCATTCTAGGCCTTTTCCCAATCTACATTTGTCAGTAACTTCCTGCAGGCACCCCACAATTCTGTCTCCACAGCCAGCATCACCTGCCACCACACCAGATTCTCCTTGCTCTCTGCCTTTTCCATCAACCAACCAGTGGTGGGAAACCAAGTACAGTCTTGACCCACTTAGAACTTTCCAATGGTTTCCCATCTGGTTTCACCAACACTGTGTCTGTCTCCAATGCTCAGCCTCACTCCCATACCAAGCCCTTTCCTGCCTCAGGATTTTGTACTTGCCAGTCCCAACACCTATCACATGGGACATGCTATGGGCAGAGTTCGGCTCAGATGTCACCTCAGAAAAAATTGTCAGATTTGATAGGTTGCTTTTCCCACTTGAACAGTGGCTCCAGTTCTACTGTTATCCCAGCATGGAACACATGTATTCCACTTCATACTTTTCCTCCTGTGCTTTCCTCTACCTAGGGGGCTGTTCTCTTGACTTAGTTCTTAATTGATTAGGCTCTCCAGAGGAAGTCCCCCAATACACACCCCAAGGAAAGCTGCCATGTCTCAAGAGCTGTCGTAACTGGGCAGGTGAAGGGTTACCACTTCTATCAGCCAGGAGAGGCCAGGGATGCTGCCATACATTCGCAATACATAGGATGGCCCCACACAGAATCATCCACCCCAAGTGCTGATACTGCTGAGGTAACAAACCCAAACCACAAACCTGCAGGGACAATTCTTGCCTTTACCCACATATTCCGTGACTCATCTGGCCAGTGCAGTCTCACACCTGACACTGTCATCTCCCTAATTGAGCAGTTTGAGGTTGGCAGACAGATCTGTCTCATCCTTTAGCAAGGACACTGAATGGCAGAGTGTGTGGCACCCAATCAAGGCCCAAGAACCTAGTACTGATTGGTCAGATGCACAAAGAGTTGTCTTTCTGCAAGTAGTCTGTGAGAAAACAAAAAGTAACCAGCCCACACTGTGCCCGTCACAACAGACACTACTTGCCTCAAGGTAATGTGCAATGCCATGGTGGGCAAAAACAAGTCATGTCTCTTCGCCCTCATTTATGCTATCAGTGTCTTCCAAGCCACTTCAAGCCTTTTCATACAAACAAAAAAAAGCTACCACATACCTATAATCCCAGCTACTCAAGAAGCTAAGGCAGGATGATCCCAAGTTCAAGTTCAGCCTAGGCAATTTAGTGAGACCCTGTCTCAAAATAAACCAATAAAAAGAGGTAGGGGTATAGTTCAGTGGTATAGTGCTTCCCTAGCATATAAGGTCCTGGGTTCAATTCCAGTATAGCAAAAACAAAAAGTAGAAAAAGGATCACTTCAGGGAGAATGCAGCTCTATTGCCTCTGCTCAGAAAGCCCACCAGATGTGACTCAGTCATCACTTACCCCCTCAGAAAGACACTCCTGTATGATGTCTGCAGCATTCACAGCAGACCAGACTCAGGCTGCCGTGCTGGGTGGGGCAGGGGAAGAAGTACTGACTGAGGACACATCTGCTGAAGCTGAAGCCTAACCCCATTATCCTTATGGGACCTAAAGAGTACAGCTAGGACCATACTCTTCTTTTTCAACCTGTGCTGTTTTCTTACAAAACAGAAAATGATTCCTTTATCCATGTTCCCTCTACCCACACATCCCCTGGATCCACATCTGCGAAAATATGGCTCTATGATCTGTTTAAAATTCCAGGAGACCAAGAGTAAAAACTAAAAATTCTGCCCTCCCCTTTTCTTAGATGGAGGGAAATGTGAAACTCTCCCCACCCCTCATGGTACAACATCCTGGGAGATTTGGGGTAAGATTAACAAGAATATAGGATCTGGATCTGAAGCCTGGTGTTGGCATCCCAGCAAACAACCCCATTTCCCCAAGCTCAATTTACTCATCCTTAAAAAACACAATCCACATGGTGCTTGCTTGCCCATAATCCCAGCAACCCATGAGCCTGAGGAAGGACGATTGTGAGTTTGAGGCTAGCCTTGTCAACTTAGTGAGGCTGTAGACAAATTACTAAGACACTGTCTCCAAAAAAAAAAAAAAAAAGTGCTGGGAATGTAGCTCGCCCCTGGGTTCAATCCCCAGCACCAAAACAACCACCATTCAAACTAACGCAAATTCAAGTCTTGACTAGAGATACTGGGGGAATCAGGTGATAAGCAGCACAAATCAAGCTTGGTATGGTATCTGACTCTAGCAAGGCACTAGAAGCCTGCCTCTTACCCATGGGACTGTTAGCAAGATTTAGTCATCCCTATTTGCAAATGGGGATGATGGCAGTGCTGGCATCTCCCGGCTGAGAGGATTAGATGGGACAATGGAAGTAACTTTCAGAGTGCAGAGCCAAGTGCTCAATAAATCCTCTGCAAATCTGAGAGGGTATTGGGACGAGGGATCTTCAAACCATTTGTGAAACGGGCTTTATTTCTACAAGTGTCTCTTGTCTGTTTTACAGTGGAGAAACACTGTCAGATAGTTCCTACCCTTTGTGGACTGGAAAGCAAAGGCTTATAAAATCAACTTCAGCTCCTCGAAGACCCTTTTCTGTGGCCATTACCAGCCTGCCCAGCTGCCACCCAGTCCAGTCCTTACCTGCCCTGAAGGCCAGCCCCACTGTGGCTGGGGCCTGTGGCCGTGCTGTCTGGCTAGTGAAGCCACATTCTCCCAGAGTTTTGCCATCATCGAGGAGCTGGTCATCCTGAGGAGAGAAGAAGGGTCTGGGGAGAGGTCCAGAAGGGGCAAGACCCACAGATCTCTGGCCAGCAACTACACTGGGAGTCAGAGGAAGAGATAGTATTAAGCGTGGCCATAACTACCACAGAGCACGTTGGATACAGCTTCCAGAGCCGCGTCCCCAAGATGTCCAAATAAGAACTTTGCAGAGGAGGGCTCTGGAATCTGGTTCTCCCAAACCCTGCGTGCGAATCGCCCTCGGAGTCACTGAGCCAGCGGACGGACGCCGAGGCAGATCACTGACAGCTCTGACCCCTGAACAAGGGGCTCAACTTTCTGACATCCAGTGCCCTCAACTATAACTCGGGGCCCCCGGCTTTCCGGGCTCACAGGCGGCCGGGGCTCGACGAGCGGGAGAGGGAAGAGGGCGGGGAGTCCTGCATGCGGCGCTCGCGGGGTCCCTGAGCCGGAGCGCCCGCGGCGGAGGGGAGCGGAGGCCTCGGAGGCGCCGACCCTGCCCGTTTCCGGCTCGCCCCGCGTCGGCGCGGAGGAGCACCGCGCTGCCCGCGACCTGCACCGGGCGCCGGGCGAAGACCCCACCCGGCCGTCGGCGGTCGGGCGCATAGGGCCGCCGTCCGCGCTCCCCAGCCCGGCCCGCCCGGCGGCAGGGAGACGCCGCGGGACCCCGCGCGCGCAACCGCCGCCCGCCGCACCTTGTAGAGCCGCTGCTCGTCGGGCGGTCGCTTGAGGATGCCCTCGACGATGCGCTTCAGCTCGAACACGGTGCTCGACTCCTTGGCGTCCGTGAAAATGGTGGTCTTGTGGCGCCGGATCATGAGGAACACGTCCTGCGGGCGGCGGGCCGGCGTCAGCGCCCCGCCGCCGCCCCCGCGAGCCCGCCGCCCCCGCCGCCCCCGGCCCGGCCGCCCCTCCCCCCGCGCCCGCTCACCATCGCGGCGGCTGCCTCTCGCTCGACGCGCCGGCGCGGCCGCGCTCCGCCCCTTCCCGGCAGCCCGCGCGCGGCCCGGTGTGCCCC